GTTGTTATATTTATTTCTCTGATTAAGTCATCTCCTTCCTTTATTTCAGGATTTGGGATCTGTCAACTCCAAAGTTCCTCAGCACTTCATAATTACTCTTTAGGAACTTGGCTGATCCCAACTTTCATCCATGGGCAATGAAGACAGTTACTTTCTACAGGATCCACATTTCTCTACCTTAATCACTCAAGGTACGAGGCAGCAGTATCAGAACACACAGTGTGTCCCAGTACGTGAGAGAGAGGAAACTTATTTCCTCAGAGGACTGTTATTCTCTTATTACTTGATTATGAAATTTTGTCTTATTCTTTCATAAAGTAAAAAAGAAAATTTATTTCCTTATAATCAAAATAACTTTGGGTTATTTGGGGTGAGTGTGTCTTGCTTTCATCTTGTGTACCAAGAGCCAGACTTGCAGAAACATGAGAAAGGAGATAAATCTTTCTTTTTGTAGCATAAAGAAATGACTTTAGGGTAAAATATTCATAAAAGATTTGTTGTTACATTTTTCTAGATCACTTTATGTAAAGATGCACAGATTATGATTTTTAAAGGACTATTTACCTAGAACTGCACTACGTGTGCATTTCCCATTTCTCAGCACAGTTCTGGTGATGTGCAGAGCATGCTTGAATTTGATTCCGTAAAGCATAGCATTCATACCTGGATATAACATGCTTAGTGATCCATAAAATCCATGTTATGGCTACAGGTGAAATTATATTATGGTGACATTCTTTCAATTATTCAGGTAATCTTACCTCAAACCATTCTATGCTTACTATAACATTAAAGTGCAATTATACAGTGAAATGCTGTTTCTCAATGCTGCTTTTTATTTTCCTTGTAAATAAATCCAAAGACACTATAATCACATATGACTCAAAACATTTTAATACTTTAAAAATTCATCGTTAAAGTGGGGTTGGCTCTATTGCTGCTATTGTAAAAAAAATTTAAATCTATATAGGTGTCCGTATCTTACAAAAATGTGCCGGCTCATGCACACTTTGAAGACACACCAACAGCTCTGAACCCAGCTGACTCCTGTGGGCTCCTAATGGCTACCAGTCACAGCAGATGCCAGCCTTTCTGACATCTGGTCTCTCTGTTGTGGTTCTTACGATGCTATTGTAGGAGTCCTCATCTGTCACAGACATCTAATACTTCTTCAGGAAATCATGTCCTATTTAATAAATTCAATATAAACTCTCTATTCCATTAGCTGCTTTGGAATGTGTCTCTCTTAAGTAAATTTCACATAAAAATCTCAATCAGAAGTATTTTGCCCTTATAAGGATGTATAAAATTAAAATGGTGAGTTTTATTCCTTCCTATTTCCCCTTACCCCTTCTAGATATAATAACCTATTTCTGAAGTAATACGTATAATTCTGTGACAAATCCACTTTAGCCTTGGTAATGCCCTTCGTTTTGACTTCAAAACATTCATTGGCTCTCATGGATTTGTACTATTTAACACCCAGATAAAGGTAAGCTGCCTTTTTTAATAATGATGGATTACATTTTCTCGTTACATGCTCTTATTCAATTGGATTTTTTCAATTTAAGCACATCTATTCTAGGAGAAAAATGTAATGTCAGTCTGAGAATAATTGTAGTTATTAGAAAAGTAAACATAATGAAATATAAGCAACATAAATGTAAATTAGCTGATTAAATTATATAAAAGACTAATATTTTCCACAGAGAAGCAGTGTTGTCTAAGCGCTGTCGCTTTTACCTTTCCCTTTCTTTTTTAATATAGGAAATGTCATGACTTACATCTTCCCATAAGGAAAGATATATGGACAACACAGGAATCTTTTAAGTAGAAATACGAGTTTGGGCCATGTGTTGTCAAAAAGATATTATCATATTTTAGTTCAGCACCTTCTCCAACATTTCCTAGGCTAACAAATGTATTATTATTTTTACAGATGTTCTTCCTGAACACTAGTTGCAGACTAAGACTCATTTATTGTATATTTTATAAAGACCTAGAAGACAGCAATTCAAAGTTACTAATACAAAGAAATAAAAACATTTAAAGAGAAGGAAATGCTCATTGCTTTGATTTGGTCAATAGAAATTTGATATGTGTATAAAATTATTGCAGTGCACTCCACAAGTAAGTATAAATACTATGTGTCTTTTAAGGATTTTTTAAAATAAAAAGCCTCAAGTTTTTCCAAAGGGGCTAGTCCTAACTTTCTGATACTATCACTGATCCATTGCCCTTATTTGATCATGTAGAACTCATGTGCATATACATAAAAGTATTTTACTGAGACCTCTACTACTCAGCTAAAAGCCATGAAAAATGTGTGCTCATGTTACTGAGATGTGAAGAATTTAAATTGTTCACTTTTGAGTAATTATTTATTTTCTTCCAACTTGAATAAGTCAGTACTACCCATCATCATAAAATTAGCTATGATCAATATGTCACATACAACCATCACTTTGTCTATGCTTTTCCTAAACTTCATAAGCATTCCAGAAGATGGGCAGGAGAGATGTGCAGATCCTTTTTCTAGATGGGGATTCTGAGGCTCAGAGCTGTAAAACATCCTTCCCCAAACTCCACAAAGAGCTAGTTTTTCAAGTAGTCTTCCATCCCTGCCTGGTTGAGCTGATTCTAAGTGTATGATCCATCCTGGACACGCTGAACCTCTCACATTCCTGGTACCCAGTGCTGAGATTCAAACCCAAGCATTACTCCTCCTCAACATCCGGTGCTGTGTCTAACATCTAGTGGGGATTTCGTCAATGTTCAATGAATGAATGACTGCATAAGTGAGTGAATCCATGAAAAAATAAAATATTAGGCTCAGTAGGATATAGAACATGACCCCTAAATTTGAACTGTACTATTAATTTCTTACAGCCAAGGTACAAAATAATGAAGGTATATATTAGTGGCATAATCTCCTTAAAATCACATTCACAACAGTATTTTTGAAATCCAGCATAAATTACTCACATTTTGAAGTACTAGAATTTGTGTCTCTGTGGAATTGGGCATATTGATGTCTTCCAATGTTATCACTCAGCTTCAGACTTTATTATGATCTGTTAATGGAACTTCCCCTTTTTGCAAGTTAGATTAAGACAGCCTGATTCACATACATTGCTTTTTCAGAGATACCCATGTTTGGGTCTGACCTTTGGGTTTTAAATCATGTTTTCTAGTGGAAACTCCTTTGGAGAGCAGAAAGCAATATTCAATATTTTCAGGCCTGCTATTGTTAAAACAGATCTGCAGCAATGAAACTGAAATAAAGTAAGGATGGAAAAGTAAGATGGAAAAGTAAGAGTTCAGAAGAACCAAAGAGATTGAGAGAGAGGGAAAAAAGGATAGGAGGAAATGACTGAAGAGAGAGAGAAGAGAAAGAGAAAGAGAGAAAGCTCTGTATTTGTCAACCGCTAGTAACAGGCATATAGCAGGGCATAATCCTATTTTTGTAGGACTATTTTGTTAAAATAAGAATATTGTGTTTTTCTCCTTTAAAACATTTCATAACAGCGCACCAAAAGAGAACTATACACACCCTCCTGTTTCATTTCCTGCCTTCACAGAATGTTGTGTTACTAAAATATTTTTATTACAGCAGAACCTGAAGCAATATAAAATGTTTGCTGGAGGATTATTTTTAGTCCCTTTAAGCTGAACTTCTGTAATGAAATCTATTTACAGACATTCCACAGTGCCCTATGGTTACTCGCTTATGCAGATGAAGCATGACCCTGGGAATAAACCTCTTGCCCTCGTCATCCGCCCTGGCTTCAAAGGTCTCAAGGCAATCACTTTTTTAAGTGAAAAGATTTTTAAGCTGAATTGAAATAGAAAGACAGCAAGCATAATGTGATACCCAATATGATATAACTCAACCATTTACTATCTACTGTGTTCCCATAAATATTTAGATACTAATTTATAAATCCATTTGGAATAAATGTGTTTGTGTGCAGTGACTTTTTTCAGGCTGTACTTTCACTATGAATGCTAAGAACTAGAAACCAGTACCAATCAATAGTCATTTGCTCTAACTTCATTTTTTACTTCTTACTTAAAGTAAGGGTCACTAAATTGGGACAGAATTGGTTTATTGATAATAAATTCTCCTCTGCTGATTATATTCTCACTGAAAATATATTTGTGCTATGTACCAAAATAATCAAAGTGATCAGGAAGATTAATATAATTCTGTGAGAACAATATTACATGAATATATGATATTAGCACTGAAATATGTGGGTATTTATAAGTAATTGAGGATCTACTTATAAGTAATTGAGGATCTAATTTTTAAGAGAGAAGGGTAATGAAGTCAAATGATTGCACTTTCAGCAGTACAGTGAGTAGAAAAGAACTGTTTAAAATGTTTGAACAATCATCACAATAAACTCTATAAGTTTAAGGAATAACTCCCTGCTGTTTAACAGCATGGAAGAAAATCCAGACTGTTGGTTTGTAGGACAAATTGTTAAAGGTGAATCTGCTTCAGGTGACCAAGGATTAAAATCACCTCATGGAGGACTCAAAAATCTCAAGGTCGGTATTATTTTAATTTACTGTCAAATTAGGAAATAATCCAAAATAACTGTGGGACTTGTAAGCTAAAATGTCTACTATGCAATATTTCAAAGAATGGTAAACCACAGATGACTAACTTTTTAACCTGACCAAACAGTATGATGAAGTCAGAGTGCAAAAAAACACATTGGAAATTTCCTGTAAATATTTTTTTTAATTCCCTAGTTTAGTTCACTGAAACTACCATTTTTACTGATATAAGGAGTCTTATTAAATTAAATATTTATCCCTTAAACTCTATTATTTACATTCTGCTTTTTTGTTATTGATCATCAAATTTAGGTTATGGTATTTTACTACACATAGTTCATATTTAATAGTCAAAATTTTACATAGGTGACTGCTTAGGCTTTGAAATGCTCTGACTTTCAAAGGAGACCCTCAGGACCAGAGCCACTTACCTGGAAAACCCGAATAGACGTCAGAATGGGGTAAACTGTCCCAAAGGCTTGGCCAGCACGGATGACCAAAAGGGAGGGCACAAATAAATGATAAGTCCAAAACACAGACCAGAAGCAGGAGAAGTAGTTGCTAGAAGGTGACAGGCAAGAGCAAGTAATGACATAAAATATTTTCTGCCACTGAGGATGTTGTTGAATTAAAGAGAAAGAATGCACAAAACCACAAAGACAGAACAATGCAACAGAACTAAGAGCAAGTAATTTTGAAGAAAACAGCATGGCAAATCAAAATACAATTAAAACACACTAAGCAATTGTAATGCTACAGAAAAACTAAGAACTCAGTAGAAAAAAATGAAAGACTTCAAACTTACTAAAAATAGGAAATCTATTTAAAAACATTCAATAATTAAAGAAAAATATTCTGGGGGAAAAATATATATATATAGTTTCAGCTTAGTATTTATGCAAACCAAAGGGGATTTATTTCAAAAGCATTTTTCCAAAATGATATCTACCTACTGTTAAATGTCAAGGATTAAGGAAATGTTTGGGAATAATTTTGACAATAGATGCTGCACTCTAGCGTAAGAAGGCAGTGGGGGCAGGCCCATGGTAAAGAACTTTTCCTACAAGTGGAGCATGCTTGCAAGTTGACCTTCAACAGATTAAAATCAATTGTTCATTTGTTCATTTATTCTCTCAGCAAAGATTAACTGACATTTGTTACATGACAACTACTGTATTTACATGTTTACATGAGGAACTAAACAAGAAAAAGTCCTCTACTCTTCAGCATGTAACCAAGTATGGGAGGAAAATACTAAAAATAAAAAGAGCAAGAAGTAATGACAGACTGGGAGAAGCATGATAAGGGAAAAAGCGGGGCGCAGTAGAAAGGTAACTGGGGAAGGCTTTGCTCTAATTTATGGATGGATGGCCTTTCTGAGAACTGTTCACTAGAAAACCTGAGATGGAAAGAACAAAAGTTGAGCAGTCAGCAAGGAGGTTCAGGTGTCATCTAGGTAGAAGGAGAAAAATGATTGGAAGACCAGAAGGAAGAATGGAAGGAGCTCAACAAAGATCTGACAAAAGTTTCAGGAGATGAATCTGGAGTGATCCACTGCAGAGAGACTGTAGATCTATGGAAAGAGATTTAGATGTTATTTATTTGCATCAGGGGACATTAAAGAGCTTCACACAGGCCACCAAACAATCAAAAGCAGAATTACCAAGAAGCTACAGAAGTTTCACCTTTAAGGCCACCTGTGGGCTTTCCAAAGTCCCAGAAGATGTCCTAGAAAAGAGTTCATAGGGTCATATGTTTTTGTAGTATTATAGTGCAAGATTATCTGTACATATTGACTCTCTCAACCTCTAATGTACCCTATGAGAGGATAGTCCCATTTGTACATTGTGATATCTCAAAAATCAGAATACCTGTCATGTAATAGATGATTGATTAATATTTATTGAATGAATGAATTATCCTCAATGCTCATTACATTATTCCTTGACAGTAATACTAGTCTCCAAATTGTCCTCCAGTACTACAGATCTACGCTTTATATATAAATGTGGGTTTTATATAAACCTGATCATAATAGTATCCTTCTAGCCTAGTATTTTTCAATCCCCCCCTATATCCTATGAAATAAAAGATCAGTAATTTAGAGCATAATCAATAGGACAAACAAGGTATATCTGAATTTAAACTCAGACCCTGAACCTATTAGATCATGTAGATAAGTTGCTTAATACCTCATTTTCTCATCTCCTCCACAGGTTTGTAGTGAATATTAAAAGAGATGCCTTTATTATCCCTTGTAAATAAAACTTCCGTCAATAATGCATACTCCATGCTCCGCAAGGCATGTCAGCGTTGAGTTCTATAAATGTAAGTGTTCTCCTGCCCTGACTTTACCAAATCCCTGTCTCGAATCATTGCTATCACCACAGGGCTTAGCCATTAGAAGAAATGCTGGTCAAAGAAAGTGAGGACCGCATATGAAATGCAAATGTCCTTTGGAAGGATGATACAAAGCCCAAGTTCCAGTTCCATGGGGTGACGTGGTCTCAAGCCTGACTAGCAGAGACACACGTCTAGGAGCAGGGAGGCAGGGGTAGCCAATGAACTCAGCTTTTGATTTGTTATTCATGAATTCCTCTGGCACATCTGACATCACAAGCCTTTTTCAGGATTTGACACTTCTCGAAGAGTTTCTTTTCCTCTAATGGAGAATTTGAAAGGAATCATCCCTATTTCTTTACAGTCTTACAACATAAAATTGCCTCTTAAACATATTACCTTGAAGCTATTTGAATGCCTACTTACAGAATTCATTTTCTCTTGCACTGAAAAAAAGTATCACAAATCTCCAGTTTCTTAAACTAGGTGGGATTTGCTTGGCAGATCATGAGGTGCACTTCGTTGAGTGACAAATAACTATATCACCTCTTATTTGCCATGCCACTCCTCCCTCCCCCGAGAGCATGTGTCTCCTGGGTACTGGTGCTTCCCACCAAGATCAGACTTGTCCAGGACCTGTGAAGTAAACTGGGCTACTTTGTATTTTGAAAGCCCAGCAGAGGACACAGAGAAGATTGGGTGTCCTCAAGATTCTGCCCGGTGGTCTGACATCATAGATGCTTCCCAGACCCACTGCACCTTTTCTTCCCCATTGAGGCATGCTGAAACAAAATGAATTGTCTCAATAATTACTGCCTTCAACAACCTAAAATTAAATGTATTATGCTACAATGGGAAAGAAATTCGCTCAGAAAAAAATTGAAGGGTTAGTCATGCAAGGAAAGCTTTAACATACAACTAGTTATGTACTAACTAAAAATTTGTAGAAAAACTTTTAAGCAATTGTAGGAAAATGTGCTTTCATATCATATGAATTAACAGATGTCCCTTTTAGTCCTTTTTTAGAGAAATAACTATAAAACTAAGCTTAGTTCTAAGTAGCACCATAAAAAGTTGTGTTTAGAGTTTAAATTCTGCTTATTTAATGTTGCATCCATGCTGACAATGTACCAGTTATTACTATTAAAGGCATAGCATCACCCTAGAAAGTAATTTAACAATGAATAGCTTGTTATGAGTAGCTAGTGTTGCTTGGTAAATCCACCGCCTTTTGGTAAGTTTACATAAAGACTCTGATAAGGTCTTTGGAACATCTGTATTGAAGATGACACAATTCGGGATACTCAGGGAGAACTGTTGACAGTAACTTCGCGCTGGCTGCCAAAGTCAGTGACTCTCTCTTGCGATTATGGAAGGCCATTCAGCTTTGTTTTTATGAATTTAAAAATGACTTCAGCAAATCCCCTAACGGTAGTTAATGGTTCTTAATTATACGATGTGCTAAAATAGAAGAATGTCTTCTTCACTGAAAGGTAGTATTATTACTAAAATTGTCTAACTTTATATAACAGCAAAATTAAAAGACGACACAGCAGAGAAAGAAAACTATCTCAAGCAGTGGTTCAACAATATCCAAATTTTCACTTTTCTGTGCCAAGTTTTACTTCAGAGAATAAGGCTTAGTTGCATAAAATGTCAGCGAAACATAAGATGAAATTTCTGAAGTGGATTTCAAGTTTAAAAATTTTACCTAAAACAATTTTTTTATCAATTCATGAAAAACATTTCACAACCCTGATTGATTATGCAAGTATTTCTATGATTGAATTTTTTACTTTAAACTTGAATAACACTATTGTCCATGTTGAGCCATTCTCATTATTATTCAACAATATTTTGAACAGGAATAAAAAACAAGCATCAGGCATTCAAGGATCTGATAGCACCTAGAGCATGAGCAAGATCAGCACCCCTGATACTGTATACACCCCTTCAACTGTGGACAAGAACTCTTATTTCCTTCCAACTCATGTAAACACAAAAGCAATTCAAGAGTTTCCGATCCTCCTCTGTGTTAGGAACTTACATACTCGGGGCTAAGTATGTGTCTAAACTAAGTTTTTACATTTAATCCCCAGAAACCCTATGAAATTGACTTTTACAAACTCCACACTATGCATGAAAAATGTGAGGCTTAGGAAGGTTAAACTATATGCTCAAATTACACAGACTGTGAAGAATACAAACAAAATTCAAATCCCTACTCCGTTCAACAGGATTCAAATGCCAAGCTACCTCCAAAGCTTAGGCTCTGTGGCTCCACAAAGCTACTCTCCTAGATCTAGCTCTTCACTTAGCTGCTCCACTTAGAGCTAAGCTGACTATACATTCTCAAGTAATTTTCACATCACTTAGTCAATAGTGCACTCCCTTCACCCCTCATCGGACAATAATTTCTGTGGCCGCCCTTCCCTGAAGTCAGTACATACAAACCTGAATTCATATGTTTTCTACCAACTCCCAAAGACTGTCCCATTTGTGACTTTATGAATATGAACGACACAATAGCCTCATTCAAGTTCCAAAGCCGGAAAACTGCAATAATTCTTCCTGTTTCATTTCCATATCCAAGAATCCATCACATACCATCCTGTCTTCTACATTACATCTTTCAAGTCCACCTTGTCTCCAACTACAGTTTTACCAGCTTAGTTTTTACACTCATAATTTCATTCCTAGACTGTTGTAAAAGTTCTCTGCTGACACTTTTAGCTCCGGACTTATTTACCTCTAATCTAGTCTGTGCAACCCAATCATAATGAGCTTCCTAAGGGACACATCTTGTCACGTAATCATCACAATTTAAAATCTGAAAGCCTTCAGGATAAAGCCCAATGTCTTTGCAAGGTCTACAAGTTCCTCCATTAATTGTCTCTTGCTTACCTCTCCTTCCTAATCTTACTACCCCCCACATACAGAGATTATATTCTGCTTCACTGATGTCCTATAGTCACCAAACATCCAGGAATGTCCTTTGCCTTTATGCTTTGAAACAGTCTCTTCCTACTTCTTGAGAAATTCTTCTTCCACCCCACATCTTTCTAAAAATCCACCCAAGACACTTCAACTTCCAGCATTTCCTGACTAAAATCCTGCTCAGTACCACATTGGGCCCAGAGGCCACAGAGACACGTTGTCATGATCCAGCTGGGCTCTGAGGTCGTCCACTTTTGCCATTTCCATGCTGCTGAGGGTCATCTCCTTGG